TGCATGTGTGTGTTTAGAGAGAGACCTGCAGAGCAGAGACATCCTGAAACATTTCCCCCCCCTCTGCATCTAACAAATGTGAAGTGGACTATTCTAAACAAGTATCCATGATAAATACTATAAAGGTTGGAGAAAAAAATAAATCCAAGTCTCCTCCTCAAAAAAGATTGTCTGGATGAATGATTTGAGATGTGACTATATAAATTTTATTCAATCTATTTCTGTTCAGTCTTAATTGTCTATTATGGGTACAATTTCCTGGAATACAATAAAGTTGTAACATCCAACTTTGTCTCTCCTTATCTCACAGCCTGAAACCAAGGGTTCACTTGTCACAAATTTCAGACTGTGTCAGGGAATCAGGTACAGAATCAATTTCTTTAACAATTTCTTACAACAATTCCACGTGCCGCAAGCCAGTGAAAATAGCATCTTTGGAATCATTACTGGCCTCCCCCTCCCTCTCCTCCTCCACCACAACTACATTAAAGCTCTGGGTAGCAGGTAATCAAACGTGGAGGCACTGCCTATTTAAAATTCTCCTTATACTTGTGCCCAGAACTTTGCCTCATTAACCTGGATTACTGGACTTTCGTCTATTCTGTGATTATGCTCTATGTGTAGACCTTCAGATTTATGGCAGAGTCTCTGATTTTTCAAACCCTGTACCAGAAGTTGACAGTTCTTGTTTTCTTCCCTTTATAAAAAGTGCCTTGTAGACCTTTGATCTTGGATTTATGCTCCTTTGTTTACATTTCTTAGGCAGACAGGACTACAGTGGGGAGAACAGAAATTCTTTGAAGAAACAGAGCTACAAAATTTGCACGGAGTTTCTAGAGAAGATGGATAGTGAAATTAAAAAAAAGCTCAGGATTAAATGGTTAATGAGATGCTATAGCTTAAATTGCTATTTCCTTTTGGACTGGTTCAGATCCAGACAAGAAATGAAGTTATAATGTAGACTGGACAGAAGTTTAAATTGTATTTGACATTGGAAAGACTTTGTATTTTGGAAAGGCAACATGCCCTAAAAGAATGATCTCCCACCCCCATTTTTTAATACAAAGATGGTCATAACTGAAACACCAGATTCTGAGATTCCTCATCACTAGATCAGACACAAGAACTTGCTTCCCCGCAGTGCTAGTATCTTTGAATCAAGATGGCACTGTATTTTGATGGGATTGGTGTGCTTTGCTTCTCTGAAATATTATCCTAACAATTGTTTATCAGCTACTCTTAATTGACAATGTCGGAATCAGAAACCACTGATAATCTCTTTGCTGACAAAGAATGTGCTTGTTAAATCCTTGGATGTTATCTAATAAAGTTACTCTCCTTCCATAATGAGTGAGTTAATGAGAAGGCTGTTATCTTTGTTTTTATGGAGATGCCGGAGGTCATAATAGTTATTAAAATAATGGATAACACTGCAAATACAAGATTGAATGTGGCTGCACTTGGAAGACTGAAAGAAGTCTACCGATACTTCTATAAACTGATTTACTGAAAGTGAAAAAGATCATTCACAACTAAGTAACATTCTAAGAATCTCAGCCTCCTTGGTTCAATGTACATATACAAGGAATTCCAGAACATGTGGAAAAGGATCAGCCTATTCTTTTATGGAAGTCATAATATGTGCAATATTAGCTGTGCTAGAAAATTATCAGCTAGGTTCTGAGAGAGTGTTTCTTCTTTTTATATTGTGATAAGCTTTGGCTATATATTGTGAAGTTTTTCAGATTTTCCGTGAAAAATAGTTTATTGCAAAGAGTAGGCCTCACTTCTGCATTTTGTTTTTCCCCCAGATCACTCTAAGGAGTTTCAACAACATAGAAAGGTGTTTGGTACTGTGAAACTCATGGCTTGTGAGAAGAATTTTAAATATTTTATCACGAGTTTAGTCATCCTTGTTTTTAAAATACTGGATAATATCCAGACATCCTTTCATAATGGAGGCAAAAATACTCCTTATTGCTTTAAGTTCTGACTGAAATCTCTTTGGAGGGTTGAAAGTTTTCCATGTTTTGTCATTGTGCCTCTTTCAGCTCCAGAGTGCCAACATTTTTATCTGTAGTTCCTAAATAGGCATTTGTTTGTTCTATGTACTTGTCCTTGGAACTACAAGGAAAAGATTAAAAACTGCAGATTCTTTTTAAAATAGCTATGGTTCATTCCAAAACTTGCACCTGTTTTTTGGATCTGAATTTATGAAGATGTATTTCAATATATCAAAAAAACAAAAACAAAAAACAAATCTAGTCATCCTTTTACCCCTTGTTGGTTTGTGTAATAAATCATCATCATCATCATCATCGACAGGAAGTGTCAAGCATACTTGCAATGAGTCTGACCTATTAAAGATCAGGAAGTACAAATTTTATGTTTACTTTCATAATGTTTTTATTGTTTATTTGTTGTTTTATTTTTTATTTTCACAAGAAAGGGCTGGATTGGCTATATTCCCTACTCCAGGACCATATTCCAAGATGGATTATTTATTTATTAAATTTCTATCCTGCCTTTTATAGTAAGAGCTCAAGGCAGCATACACAGTGCTTCTTCCTCTTGTTTTTCCCCATAAAACAATCCTTTGAGGTAGGCTGAGCTGAGAGAGTGATTGGCTGAAAGTCACTCAGTGAACTTCTGTGGCTGAGGATGAACTAGAGCTCCGGTCTCCCCATTCCTAGTTTAACACTTTAACTACTACAATTACACTGGCTCTAAAATATGACTTTTCTCATTTCTTTTCAATATATATACCTTTTCTATTGTTCTGTTTCTAATTTTAATTATTTCTCATGGCATTTCTGAAACATGGAAGGTTATGGAATCGAGGTCACTTTTCTAAGTGTAGTGAAGTATTGTCTAAGTTAAAGTAAAATGGGAAATAAAATTGCTTTTCTATAGAGACTAACCAGAGATAAATACCTTTAATGGAAAGCTTGGGTTTGGGAGATTATGTAAATACTTCTTCCAAATAAGTAAGAGTTTATTTTAATCAGTATATTTGCTAACTTAGCTGCTGAAGAAGAAATAGAAGGTTGTTTTTTACATATCTAATATTAGATTGAGAGATCAATGGCTAGCACCTATTGAATTAATATGGTCAAATGACAGATTCTCTAGAACAAATACCCTGCTGTTTTAAGTCACTTGAAGGGATGGAGAGGTTCTGAATCAAAATCTGGATCACTGTTTATATTGTAACACCCTCCCCATCCAAATTATACTCTTGGTTTTATATGTGTGAATTTAATTGAATGAAGATTTTGCACTGTAGCAATCCTAAACATAAATACTGTATACTTTACACTCATACGGTTCTTTCTGATAATAATTTAAATGCATCTTTCCAATGTATCTTGAATTATAAAGATTTAATTAAGCAGCTAGAAGAGAAAATGGTAGAGTTTTTTATTTTAATAGAGACTTGATATGATTTCAGAGATTTGGTTACAACGTGGTTTTATTTCAGGTTGAATCAGTGATCATTGATCATAACAATAAGTATTATTTGATTTGATATTCCAGATGGTTAACCCATGAAAACCTTATATTTGAGATATTTACACTATTGCCTCTTTTGAAAGTCCATGTTTTTAAAAGGTTTGGAGGAATCAATTCAGGCTCCTAAAACAGTAAACTACTCCTAAGCCAGAAGAGGAAGAAGAAATTGTTGAACTGATATTAATTATTTATACAATCTTGGACACAATGAGTTCCAACACGTTCCTTGAAGGCTGAATAAAATAATGTGAAATTAGGGTTTTTTTTTAAAGTTAAAAACAGAAGTTAATAAATAAAATGCTATTCTGAATACAACTCAGAAAATGTTTAATAAGCGATGGTTCAATTCATACTTCTTCTGTTCAATTCATTTCAATTCAATTCATTTCAGGAATTGGAATATTTAACCCATATTGTCTGAACTTATCTTACAATCACATTTGGGACTGAAATCCGCAGTATTGAGGATAATGGAAACATATTTTCTCCCAGGTTGTAAACCCAGTGCTTGGAATATATCAAAGTGTCACTGTATCTTTTAGACATGGGGAACAGCCAAAATTATTACAGGCAGTCCTTGACTTATGACCATTCATTTAGCGACTGTTCAAAGTTACGATGGTGTTGAAAAAGTTATTTATAACTGGTCCTTGCACTTATGACCATTGCAGCGTCCCCATTGGCACTTGGCAACTGGCATGTATTTACAATGGTTGCAGTGTCCTGAGTTCATGTGATCGCCATTTGCAACCTTCTCAGCTGGCTTCCAACAAGCAAAATCAATGGGGAACCATGTGATTTGCTTAATGAGTGCTGCAAAAAATGTTGTAAAATCGGGTGTGGTCACGTGATGCCTTGCTTAATGACTACACCACTTAATGATGAATTTTCCAGTCCCTATTGTGGTTGTAAGTCGAGGGCTTACACCCCTTGACTATGTATACAATATTGGAAGGATATATTTATACTTATATTTATTAGTGCTGACATGCGCATTATCTGTCTTTTCTTTTTTGCAACAAGAGAGGAACAATAACTTTTGAACAATTTAGTAAAACTTCATGGAATTGTTCATGGAATTGCAGGCCTTTTTTCTTTTTTTAAAAAATGAAATTATATCGAAACAAATTATAATAAGCATCCAATAGTTAGGGGACATTTGCTACCTTTATCACCACAAATTTTGCTCTTTGAAAACTGGTCTTTAAGTTCCACAGGACTTACATGAAAACCAGACAAAAGTGGTAGATTCAAAACTCACAAACTAAATGAGAATATTCCACATGTAAATATCAAATAAGTAAACAAAACCACAGGAAAATAAACTCTGAGATGCTGCTATAGTGACGGCAAGGAAGGAACAGGGGAAACTGTCAGGAGTCACTGCTTGGGAGAAGAGCGCATAGTGTGGGGTTTCCTTTCAACATCTCCCAGCTTTAGAACATTTTGGAACTTGTTCTGTAAAGGTGTACAACAGCTAGATATGAATGCACAGAGACTATAACAAAGGAGGAGGAGGTTTCCAAAGAAAAGGAAAAAAGAAGGGACAAGAAGTGAAATACATGGTTAAAACATGGCTGTCTCAGCAAGTCTTTAGAGATGAGCAGCTGTGATTTGCCTGACATCTGTTTCAGTAGATGCTATTATAATTTTGTATTGTTTTTAATGGATATTAATATGTGATTTCATGGTTTTACTGTTTCATGACTTAGGTTTGTGATCTGTCTAGAAATGTGCAATTTTGGCAGAAAATACAATGCAACATGATATAAGAAAATGACACAAACAGCTGAGAGAATTAGGAGACATATTGTTTCTCTGGAATTAATATAGTAGACACTAGGTGTTCCCATGTAGGGTTATCCTGACCACCTGAAGCTCAGTGGCATAAATTTAATAAAAACCTCAGTATTAAGAGATGCATGGTGATACTAGGGGACTCCCCTGTGAGGGTGACAGAACCAACTTTTTATTGTGATTTTCTACCCCTACCTAATTATTCAAAATGTGATGTATAACCTACCCAGATTTAACTATGGTCCAGATTCATGTAAGAACAAATAGTACATTCAGAAGAAGTGCTGAACAGATTTTCAAAAAATATGAATCCCCATATAGGAAAATTTATTTATTTATTTAATCATACTTATACAGCTGCCCATCTCACAAAACCTGTTATAGCATTGGGGGCATAAATGCTGGTTTCATCACTCATTAATGTGAAAAATCAGAGAGGAGAGAGAGAAAGATAGTGGATATGAAAAGGTCGTTGCATAAATGGTATAATAAAAATAAGAAGAATTCCTAGGGG